ACAATTACAAAATGTTTTTATATTATTTGAATGTTATTATAAGTTGTGGGAGGTTCTTCCAAGAAAAAGTATAATTGGAGTAGTCTTTGCTGTAGGTTATAAATGAATGTGGAATACTGCACTAGAATTTTGTTCTAACTTAAGAATGTGATGTTCCATTATTATTACTTCTTTTCCCATCTCGTATACAAGTTTTTCTCTTGAACTCAAACAGACATAAAAGTCATAAAGCTGGCCCGTGCAGCAAAACCGTAGTACTTTTTTTTTGTTTGTTTGAACAAAGATTTTTCATTGTTCTTCGTTTTACATGTGTACCTGTGTCTTTTCCTTTGTTGTCAGCGTTCAATTTCTTATTTACAGAACATTTCCTGAATATTTTGGTTATTGCAGATTACTTATGGCTTACCTGTTGAAAATCATTGTATATGAAAACCACAACAGTTACTCTACCAATCCACATCCAGTGATATCAGCATCCACGAATCTCTTGATAAAGTATAGAAGCGTAAGACTATAAATAAGTCTAATACAGTGTATTCCATCATCTTGCTTACTGTATTGAGGGCTAATCTCACTTTACAAGAACGATGTTCCAAGTCCCATGCTGCCTTACATCTACTCCTTCATTCATTGGTTGTACTCAGTCTGATGGCCATGATCACGCAATATTATCGAACTGGTTGTATCAAGCTTCCGGTAATCATGGCGAGATAAATTTTTGACCAAACAATTTTACAAGTTTTTAACATACCATCCACTTTCGGAGCATGTTGTTGTCCTAAACACTATGCTGTACGAGTTTTTCTGCTTATACGAGAACTTGAAGGCTGCCTTCTTTGATGAGGTGTGGTCTTTGTCTCTACATCACTTAATAATTCCACTCGATAAAAATCACTCCTTGTATTGGATTGCGACTTAAACGTCTAGCATATATATATTCATGGTGACAATGCATTGTCGAATCGTCAGGAATTCGCCATCAACCAAATATACAGGTGATGTAGATGTCGCCCATAGCTCAACGGCCTTCATATTGAACAGTATGCCTGAATACTCCTCTCTCATGGTTGTGAAATTGTCACAAACTTTGACCAGTACAGTTTTCTACTGACAAATCACGAGATTCTAGTTGTTGGAATACTGTCAAAGTAACAGAAGTTTTGTGAATCTTCAGCTAAGAGTCTTGCACAAGATCAAGAAATCGATATTGAGCTGAGATATATCAAAATGTATTATGAAAGACATCTGTTCATGAAGTTTGTTTTATAATTTCAGTACTATATAATCAGTTTGGAGGATGGTAAATCAATAGCCACATTTGTAATGGTGATGATAAATAACTATTGAGACAATACAATCTGTGCATCTTGAAAATAGCTCTGCAACGTAATTTATATTGCAAAAGGCTCCATCGTAAGTCTGTGGCTATCATGTCTAAAGCACACTACCCTTCCCTGATTACCTTTCGTAATCCATCTAATTTACGAGAACGACAGTTCCCAGTCAATCAGAATGTACTTCTGATACATTCCGTTCCACCGTGACTTTAGTAGAATGTATTCAACCCTCTGTATTCTTAAGTTATGTGACACTTGAAACTTTAATGAATGTGTTATACCTATAAAAAGTCATTCTGTAATAAAGCATTTCCGATTTTTTGGGGTGAAGTTTTGCTATTAAAGTGCTATGTTTTCTAAAAATCAATACTTTCATTTTTGGCAAGTTATTTGTCTAGGTCAGCGGTTCCAAACCTTTTTCTCTTCGCGAACCCCTTGAGCAATAATAGTTTTCACAGCGAACCCCTTTTAAGCAATAACAAATTTTGTAAAATAAAATAACTTTTGAACATGTTGAATTTATTGAAAATAAAAAGTTTCTGTAACACATATTATGTAACACGTTTACAATAAAATCCGAATCTCTGATATTGTCTCAGTTTGCAGTTATTACCCAGAAATATTGAAATATAATTCTTGAAACATAATAAAAAAAATTAAACAAAACGATTTAACTAAAACTAATGAAACTTATGAACTTATTTTGAAGAAAACAGTGTAGTTGTGTCAGCGAGATCACGT